AGGAGAAGGAGAAGAACAACAACAACAACCAAACAAGCATAGTGCTTAGTGATCTTGCTTCACCTACAGTTGTTCAATCACACCAGGGACATTCCAGGTCTTCCTGCAGGTCAAGCTTCAAAGATACCAGCACCACCTGAGTCTGTTACTTAAGAGTCTGGGCAACCCTAAAACAACCACCATCCTCTCAGAATCATAGGAACCCGTTGTAAGGCTTTCCCACATCCTTCCGTCTAAGCATCAGGTTATCCCCCTTAATGTTTCCCTTTTTAAGTGCCACCTGCGCTGGGAGGTGTTTAGGGTAGTGCTCTATGGGTGCAGCTCACGTGTGCGAGAACATGCTCTCTCCTTGTGCCCCCAGGTGATCCCTCAGCCTGCTTTCATGGCAAAAGCTGAAGCTTTGTGGAGTGAAGAAGAAAGGAAACAATTCAAAGAGTATGAGAAAAAAGTCAAGGATCTAAATGAAGAGAGAGATAAGTACAGAAAGGTTAGAAGAACAGAAAATTAATGAAAACATCTCTAGACTCACTAGGTCAAATTTTTCCTAATGCCTTTAAGAGCTTAGGGATAATGATTTGACTTAAAGTCCCTTTGAGAACTTAGAGGTTGGAGTAGAAAAAACTGAGGGCTGGAGACATTTAAAAAATGAAATACATAATATTTCTAAAGTTCTTGTTGATGTCAACACTTCCCACCGGTTACCGTTCGTTTGATCCTCTGTTCTCTCTCCATATGTTTAAGGAACACCTAGCACACGCAAGACACCACAAGGGCTTGCTCTCAAGTCTTGGCTACGGCGATTAGAGTTCAGTAGTGCTTCGGGCTGATTCAATCTCAATCTCAATGAGAGAATTTGAGAAGAGAAAACCACAACCAGTGTGACACATAGTTCGGTTCCTATTTGAGGGCTCTGCACTATAGCTCCACTTTTATGGTTTCCCAGTTCAAAGAAACATCCCCACGTGAAAATGTCTCGCACTGTAGAAGAGACATAAAAGTTGTTGGTAATTGGGCATGATGGTCCATACCTACAATCCCAGCACTTGGAAGGCAGGGCAGGCGCATCAAGGAGAGTCTAAGAAACCTAAGCTACATAGTAAGAACCCCCCAAAAATGTCGGTGTTACATAACAGAGCAAATACTATTCTTTTATGAAAGCAGTAAAACCACACCATCACTCAAGACAGGATAGTACAACTGACCAGCTTTATCATGGCACTGTCTTTGCAGCAACTTTTAATCTCTTGCTTGTCTACTATTTTTATTCACTGTAGTTATCCCTTGTATTTTTAACTAAGTTTAAAAGCCAAAAGCCTAAAGAACCCAAGGAGCTAATAATCATGGAAGAAATCAAGGTTCAGAAAGGTAGGGATATAGTTACCTAAAGAGTGAAGGGTGGAGTTCTGAGTAGCTCTGTCAACTTGTCACGAGCTCAAGTGGGAATCAAGAAAATGTCTCCATTTGATTGGCCAGTGGGCGTGTATGTAGGACATTTTCTTGACTGTTGATTGATATGGGAGGGCTTAGCCCCACTGAGGTCAGTTCCACCCTTGGGCAGGTGATCCTGGGTGGCAGAAGGCTTCCTCCATGGTCCCTGCCTAGCCCCGGTTTCAGTTCCTGCCCTGACTCTCCTCCCTGATGGCTGTGAGCAGGACGTGTAAGCTGATGTTCTTCCCCAAGCTGCTTTGGTCATGGTGTTTATCACGAGGACACGCAGTGACCCTTACACTGCGTTCACTCCATGTTTTAATGTAGTTTCCTGCCTTCGCCCTCACTTCCCTGAGCGACCATGATAGCTCTCTGATGAAGCCCCAGCCTTTATTCAGTTCAGTATTTGTCCTGGTTTGCTTTCTGTTGCCACGATAAAACATCATGGCCAAAAGTGACCCAAAGCAACTTGAGTCGGAAGAAAGGGTTTGTTTCATCTTACAGCTTGTAGCCCATCGTGAAGGGAGGGCAAGGCTCAAGACAGGAGCCTGGAAGCTGAGGAAGAACACGACTTGCTGGCTTGTTTTCCATGGCTCTCCCTGCCTGTTCCCTGTACAACCCAGGACCACTCGCCCAGGGTGGGTCCGGGAAGTCAGCAGGACCTTCCCACATCAGTCACTAATCAAGAAAATCCCCCCACACTTGTCTACAGGCTATGTGATGGTGACGACCCCTCAATTTGTTTCCTCTTCCCAGATGTCTCTAGCTTGTACCAAGACAGAAAACTAACAAGCACAGTATCCTTGCCTCCTCTGCACCTGCTCTCATGCAGCGAATAAAGAAACAAAACACAAACACAAAATACAGATTTACCCCCAGTTGGATTTTTCTAAAGCTTTTCCATGTTGTCTTACTTTTGCGCCGTCTGATACTCTCACGCTGACACATAGGGCTCCTTAGAGCTAATCTTGTTTCATTTCACACACCCCATCTTCTTCCCAAACACCGGACATTGAACTAAAGTCCAGAAGGCTGGGGAGATGGCTCAGAGGTTAAGAGTGTTTAGTGCTCAATCATAAGGATGGGACTTTGGATCCCAGCACCCACATCAGGCTATGCATGATGCTTGGGGCACAAGCTACAAGGGATCCAACACCCTCTTCTGGCCTCCATGTGCACCTGCCCACAAATCCACAAATATATACATTCTCTCTCTCTCTCTCTCTCTCTCTCTCTCTCTCTCTCTCTCTCTCTCTCTCTCACACACACACACACACACACACATAAATATTTTTACTTAAATATCAAAACAAAATGTATAACATAAAAAATCAAGGTATTCAAAAAGAGGAGAGGAAGATAAAAATTGGGGGCCAAATGTTCAAATGTTGTATGTATAAATTGTTTTCTGTAGTCAGAATTTCTCTGGAAAGATTCGCTGCAGTTCAGTTTACTAGGCCTACTCGATTAGTGATCTTTAACATTATTTTCCTCCAATGTAATTTTCAAACATCCAGGCTGGGCAGACAGCTCCGTATCCTGGTTAAAGTGCTTATTGCACAAATAATGAGAACCTGAATTCAAATTCTTAGTTCTCACTTTAAGAAAACCAGACATGGCTGTGCATATCTGTAACCCCAGTGCTGTGGCACGGGGTTGGGGAAGTGAGGGGGTGGAGGGTGAACAGGGACACAGGCATATCCTGAAAGCTCATTGGCCAGCAAGCCTACCCCAAAGGGTGAACTTCAGGGTTAGTGGTCTCAAAGGAATAAAACAGAGTGATAACTCGGGGCACCCAACGTCATCATCGGGCCTTCACACCTGTGTATGCAGGCACATGCATACACATACACACACACACACACAGGTATGCACACATGCATGTACAACACACACGAATACACACAGAAAAGGAAATCAAATGAAAAATGAAAGCAAAAGTTCCAAGCACGCAGCATTTGAGGTTCAGGTAGTACTTCTCTGCCTTCCCTCTGCTTCTTCCAGGCGTCAAAATGCAAACACCAATTGCGACAAACACTTAATTATTCTATTGCCTCCCATTTAGTCTTTAGAAGCAGAACTGAAGAAACTTCAAAACTCTATCCAAGAAAGCACCCAGAACTTTGACGAGCACTTGAAGAGACTCTTCGATAGAAGAGTGAAGGCAGAGATGGTTGTCAACCAGGTACATGAAAGCTTCGTTTCTGGGTCTTGTCCTTTCAAGTAGCCTGTGGGTCATCCATCGCTCTTAGGCCCTGACCCGCATGCTGACCATGCTGACCCGGTGCTGAGGCCCTGCATGCTGATGGGCCCCTCCCCAGTCCCTCCTGAGGCCCTGCCCCAATCCTCTCCTCCACAATCCTCTCCACAGTCCCTCTCCAGCTGCCCCAACACCCCTACCCTCACCCCACTCCACCCCCTTACCCCTCCACCCCCCAGTGACAGACAGGCTCTGCTCCACTTCCTCTCTCTCCTGCTCACTTTAGGGAGAGTAGCTGTTTCAGGGAAAGGGGGTCACTTCTGAGAGATTCTGGGGGAAATGGATATAAAATAGGAATGGATGCATGCTCTAAACTTGACTAGTGATGGTACATGTGCACATGTACCAAAGCATCACCATACACGGTAAGGAGTGCAATGCGCGGTCTATGGAAAATGCTTCAATAACGCCATGAGTTTTCTTAAACATGCTTAGAATATCTTCTTGTACACATGATGGGGGGGGGGACCAGACTACCAGGAAATGTCCAAAGGACTCAGGAGTTACGGTCATTTCTGCTCTAAAGGACACCATTTAACAATCAAAATTAAAGGTTGGGGTAAAACACTTGCCTTGCAAATGCAAGGCTCCAGCATCAACAATGACAGCAACAACAGCAATTATTTTTATTATTATTACTGTTGTTGTTATGTATTTTTTTGTTATTGCAATTTGTTGAAACTCCTCAAACTTTTCCAAATTCCTGGGTTTGTGACATTTGAAGAAGAAAATGCCCACTGGTCACTGTCTCGGTTTTCTGTCCTGCTGCTTTGATAAAATCCTCTGACAAAAGGGAGAGCGAGTTTATTTTAGCTTAGTGTTTTGAGTGACAGTCCTCCACGGCAGGGTAGTCCAAGCATCAGGAGGCTGAAGCAATGATCCCCTTACATCCGGTCAGAGCAGCAACGGATGCGTGTGCTGCCAACACCTCTTCCTCCTTTTATGTGGCCTGTGATCCATTATCTAATAAGTGACCCCCACCACAATCAAGATGAGTCTTCCCTCCAGAGGTAATCCAGATGATTCCCCACACTCATGCCCAGAGGTCCCTCCCTGCTGACCCTGGAGCCTTTCAAGTTAACAGTCAGCACCAGCATCTGTCGCCTCCAGACAGCGACAACAAGTGCAGTGTCCCAAACTGTAAAGTAGCTAATATCTGGACTGACTCTCCTGGCCCTAGACAAGAAAATGGTAAGTAGGAACATCTCTTTATAAAATATTTCAAGCTGGGCAGTGGTAGCACACGACTTTAACCCCAGCACTTGGGAGGCAGAGGTAGGCAGCCTGGCCTACAGAGGGAGTTCCAGGACAGCTGGGGCTATGCAGAGAAATCCTGTCTCGAAAAAAATAAAATAAAATATAAATAATAAAATATTTCCATTAGTAAAAGGAAGAAGTGAAAACAGGCAATGATCATTTTGCCGTCTCGATTGGTATCCTGGGCTTGTGCTTTGAGCATCCAGAGCTACAAACCCCAAAAAGACAGTGCAGAATAACCCACGGTTTTGCCAAAAGGGTTCAACCAAGGTCTGACCAGGCCTCTGGATCCAGCTGCCGGTTTTCAAGGCATAGAAGGGATTTGGGGATTTTATAACCTGCACTCAGCTGGGGAGACACGCAACCACAGACTGCTGATTGCTACAAAAGGCATGAAGGAGACATAAGGAGACGCGAAGGTTCTAAGAGATTTAGGAGACGTGACAAAATATTGTTAATGGGTGAGCTATGCCACTGTGCCAGGCGTTCACACTAAGGCAGAGTGACAGAAACATGCGAGTTTGTTATGGCTGAAGTGGAAAAGTAGTCACTGTCGGGGTTGGACCTCTGATGACGCCTGGTTCTGGCCTGGAGAAGCTGACTCTTTCTAACTGAGTAATGAAGATAAGAGCATCGGCCTGGATCATAACTCACTGAATAATTTATTGGTGTTAAGTATTTTTCTGTGTATGTGATTTGCTTACAAGAAGGTGGTGGATGAGGGAACAGAGCCAAAAACTAAGTTCCTACGTGACTTTTCTTCAAGGCACTCACTTAAGGGACTCCTCCCCTCATAAGCTTGTCTGGTTAGAGTCAAGTCTATGACCAACAATAGAGCGTTCTTTCTCCACTAGGAATGTTGACCTTCAACATTCTTCCTCCTAATATTTCCACAGGAGGAGCTGAAAATAAACAACCTTGTGTTTTCTTTGCTTCTGGATGAAGAATTGAGCTCCAGGGAGCAGTTCCTGAACAATTACCTTCTGAAGAAGCAAGAGGAGAAAGTAAGTCCGGGCCTCTCGGGTGTCCTCTGCGGCTTGCTCGTTCAGACACAGGTTCCATATCGAGAGCATTATTTGATCAGAGTCACAGACTCGACACTATTCAAGCAATCTTCTGAGACAAGAAGAACACCTTGAAGAGGCAAGCGAGTCCCATCACAATGATGTCTGGCTGTTTTGCCCCATAGTCTTCCTTCTGCCCTTCCTACTCAGCCATGCTCAGAGTCAGTTCCAGGTCTGGGGCTTTGCTAGACGACCAGGTGAAGTATCCATGTCAGTCTCTTAATCAGGTGATGTGATTTTGCAGCTCAGATTCAGAACACTGTAGTTTCAAAATGACATAGAAGAGAAGACCAAGACTTCTCGACTGAAGTTAAAAAAATACAGCTTTATTGCCAGCCAGTTGTGGGGCACATCTTTAGTTCCAGCACTCAGGAGACAGAGGCAGGAGGATCTCTGTGAGCTTGAGGTCAGCCTGGTCTACGGAGCGAGTTCCAGGACAGCCAAGGCTACATAGAAAATCCCTGTCTCAAACAACAAGAACAACAACAATACAGCTTTTAACCATGGCCTGGCTATAGGACCTTGATCAAAGCACACTGTCCTTGAAGTTGTTCACAGGCCGTTCTCGGACTATCGTTCTCTATGGACCATGTGGTAGTCCCAAATGTCACTGAACCTTGAAGTGATGGGTTAGCTTATAGAATGAAAACTTTCATATTCAGAAACACTAAGTAGAAACACGAATGGATATGGTTTATTAAGGAGATGCGTATCAATGCTGATTATTAATACGTAATGTTTCAGCCAGTGTCCGCAGGCATCAGTATTGTTGATGAAGCCGAGTGTGCACACATAAATGCTGCATCATAAATGGCTTATGTGCTCACTTTTAAGTCTGTCTGACTAGGAGTGGTGGTGCATGCCTCAGCACTCAGGAGGCAGAGGCAGGCAGATCTCTGAGTTCAAAGCTAGCCTGGTCTACATAACACATTCCAGAACAGTCAGAGCTACTTAGAGAGACCCTGTGTCAAAGACAAAACCAAAAGAAAAGAAAAAGGTGGTTTCTAATACATGCCAAGAACTTTTTCCCAGGCATGGTGGCTCGTTCCTATAATCCAGCCCTTGGGAGGCTAACACAGGAAGAGCACAGGTTAAAGGAAAGCTGGGCTACATAGCAAGACTGTATCTGAGACGTATCACAACACCCCTGCAGGCTATTAGACGCCCTGGATACGGGAGGAGAGCATTTCAGTGCGGCTGGGTAATGCCTGTTGGCGCCAGCTCTCGCTCTATCGCATCCTATGAGGTTTCTTATTCTTGCTAAAAACTCCTATGGCTTTGTCTAACCTGAGGACTCTCCAGTTCCAATTACTGTCCCTGCCGTTCCCATAGAGCAAGACTGCAGAAGCCATCCAGAAAGCTAGAGAAGACCTGGATGTGTTCAAGGAGCACCATGACAACTTGGTGGCCGAAGACAAAGTGAGTCACGGGCACATCCCCGGGACAGGGCGGGGTTGCTGCACTTGGGACTGGCAGAGGGAGGTGAACAGGGCCGAAATTAATTTCTTCGTGGATTGTTCTCTTTCACTCAGCTGTGAGTGAATTTCATTCTGGATGGCTATACATTTCTGTAGAATCTGTGTGTTAGAACAATTTTTTAAGATTTCCCTGAGTTAAGCTTTTTCTTGTAGAAGAATATTAGAAGTGAGGTCATCAAGTTAAGCGCTCTCAAGCTTATGGTTGTGGAGTCCATGCGCTGCTCATAAGAGCAACTTAGTAGTAGGGCCAGCAGTGTGTGGCAGAGACAACAGCCCCAGTAACAGCAATGGATGGAACAAATGAGGTGGAGAAGGAAGAAGGTGAAATGGATTGAACGGTGACTTGCGTGTTTTCTGAATAAATACTATCTGTGGACACTACTATTCTAGATGCTTTTAAAGTCTGTTCTATAAGGTAACACTTTTGGCGCACTGGCAGGCTCCCTGGGGACAGCCCGTTAAGGAAGTCTTTGCATAGAAAGTGGATGTTCTCCAACAACTGTAAAAGTCAGGTCTTAATGTCCCAGTGACACTGTCTGCATCTTAGAGGTTGTCTTAACCAACGAGAAACTTCTGTGTCTGCAATTCTGGGCACAATGTGTTTATCCTTAGATTCTGGATCGCAGCTTCAAAAAGGAATTTTCTGAAATTTCTGGTCACCAGGTGGACATACTCTACAAACTTTTTAAACGCCGGCCAAGGTTTGTTTCTCCTATACTATCGTATGTTGGGGACGGGGTGGGCAGGGGCCAGAGAGATAGCTCAGCAGGGTTAAGCCTGGGGACCTGAGTGGATCCTTGGGATCCACGTGGTGGGATGAGAACAAGCTGTCCTCTGGCCTCCACAGTACGCCACGGCACACGTACATGTGTGCACATGCACAAAAATAAACTAGTAAACAAATGTCAAAAAGTAATATAGTTACAAAGTTTTACCTTTTCCCAATTAGATAGAAACAATCAACTAAACGTCCTGAGGTCACGTGGTGTCTTACAACAGGAAATGAAGTGTAATGGTTTCTGCCCCCTGTTAAAAGTAGCTAAGTGTCTATGTTCTTATTTCACATAGGAAAAGCCCTAAGCCATAGCTGGCGCACAGATTTTCCCAAGACACATTTCTAGACAACCTAAGTCTTCTTTAGAGTGTAAATCGGACCTTTACATGAGCATGAGACAGGTTTATAAGACCACACACGGGGCAGGAGGGAAATACCGGTCTCTGCAGCTAATGGCATTCTTCACTGCTGAGCCTCCCCAAACTTGCTAGTGGCCTTTGGATTCCCAGGAATAGGAAAATAGTCAACACCATCTTCCCAATGTATCTGACCACAAACTGCTTTTCCTCAGAGAATCTCATGTGGCTATGTTCATGACAAAGTTTTTATTTGCAATGTTTTTTAATAATAAAGTTTAAAGTAAAAATGCAAAAGAAAGATAGCACAAAACAGCGATTTGCTAGAGTTCTGAAAAGTTTCTAAGCCGGGAGGAGTATTGGAATAGTTTGCTAACATAATAAATTGAAATTTTCAAACAGATGCAGTACAGAAGAAGTGTGCCGTTTGTCACAAAGGAGTGAGATAGTTTTATGTGAGCGATACAAACTCTGGCTCTCACCCTAGGCAGGCTCCCAGAAATCCTGGGAATTTAGCCTAGGACTTGTCTCCTGTCTGTCTCTGTCTGTCTTCCTGTCTCTCTCTGCGGTGTGTGTGTGCGGTATGTGTGCACGTGCACACACGTGTATCTGTGTGTATGTGTGCATGTGTGTACGTGTTGTGTACGTGTGTATCTGTGTGCGTGTGTGTCTATGCGTGTGTGTGTGTGTGTGTGTGTGTGTGTGTGTGTGTGTGTGTAAGCCAGGGTGATCCCGCCATTACCTTCCACTCTTTGGAGTTGTTTGTTGTCGCCGTCGTTAGTTTTTGCGACAGATTCCCTCACTGGCCTGGGTCCTGTCAGTTCTCCTAGACTGACTAACCAGAGAGGCCCCAGGCTCTGCCCATCCAATGCTGGGATGGATCACAGGTGTGTACCACAGTGGTGGGCCTCTGGGGTTGAGGTCAGATGTTTATCCTGCTCAGTACTGATGGAGCAGGCTCCCTAGCTCAGGAGCACTTTTTCTTTTCTTTTTTGTTTTGTTTTGTTTTTGTGTTTTTTGTTTTGTTTTTGTTTTTGTTTTACTTTACATCTCTTGAGATGGAGTCTTAACTATGTAGCATTGACTGGCCTGAAGCTTACTGTGTAGTCCAGACTGGCCTCAAACTTTTAGTTATTTTCTTGCTCCTGTCTCTTGAGTGAATAGATTACAATATCGGTTGCCGGGTCTGGCTAGAGGTGTGCTAATTACAAACCCAGGGGAAACACTTGATCATCAAATAGAACTTTTTAAAATCTGATTCCACTGTTTCTCAGACCCAGAGCTGGCCTTGGGCTAGTAACTTCTTCCAGAACCCGACTAACCCGTCTAGAGACATGGGTGGAACCCTCACTGTGGCTGTGCACTGTCAAGTACCTCCAAGGGGCGTGCCTGGGACAGGTCTCTGTGACACTCTTCCCTTCCCAGCTGCAGCCCAAGAAAACTAAGCTAAGTTATTAATATAGACAAAGAGTGCCTTTCTCCAGGTCCATATGTCCAGGCATATTCTACTGAAGAGATGCCAGAGGTGGCTATGCCAGACAGATCCAGGGGGCACACACACTGCTATTGGGTGTTTGCCTGCTTACAATACACAGAAGAGATGGGTTTCCTAGCATGGGTAAAGCTGCCACTGGGTGCCAGCAACAACAAGGGATGCTTCTAAGTCCAGGGCGTGTTTGGGGACCTAAAGTAGGGAACAACAAAGTGGGTGCTTGTCTCTGGAGTCACCCACTCACCAACCCTGAAGGGACACAGGAAGTTACCATCTGGTGTCAGGCTTAGGCTAATGCTCTGTTACCTAACAGTGTGTTTTGTTTTCTTTTTGGTATTTGTAAGAATACGAAGGGTTTATGATCTTTTCTTGCTAATACCAGGGTTCACAAACAGAAAACACATGCAGATGTGAACAGTCTTGTTCCTTATGGAGAGCGACCAGCATCTGGCAAGTTAAGTAAGGACAACTTTACCCAGCTAATGAAATCCATGGATGAACTGGACAATATCAGTAACATGCCAGAAGGTTTGGACCCCTTCGTCTGGGAACATTTCTGCACAACCAGACGAGCAAAAGTGGAAAACGAATACAAAGTATATAACTTTGTTTTAAATTTTATTTTAAGTGTACTAAGAGCAAATATCACATCTGTCAGTACATCTAGGAAAACCCAGTTTTAAGATCCTCTTGCTGGGTTAGTAATATCAATAATAACATAACAAAACAAGTAGTATTATTTGTGTTGCTATAAATCTTCATGGTCCAAAATGATGGCCCTGGTGCTAAGCAGTTAGTGTGCACTGAAAACAGATGTGACCAGTACCAGGAAGGGCTGACTGGGAAACACATGAGGCTTAGCAGACCCACCATAAAACACATGAAAAATTCCTCGTGAATATTTCCACATTGCTTGTAAGCAGAATAGTATCTCAGAGTGTCTTCGATAAAAAGTATTAGTAAAATTAAGTTTATGTTCCATTTCACTTTTTATAATGTGATGATGACAACATTTCAATTACATGTATGGCTCACAGCGCTTTTCTCCTGGACAGTGCTGTTAGATGTGATCTCATTTTGCACAGAATATGTTTAGCTCACCAGAGGCAGCCTCATCCTTTGCCAGAAGAGGGGGTGGGGCTATAGTAACGTAAAGATGTGAGAACATGCTTAGCTGTGACGTGACCTTTCTGTTTCCTGACGTCTCTGTCTCCTCTCTCCTAATCCCTAAAGTCAGTGCACATACATCGGATCAGCAAATTGTCCTTAAGTGTCTATGATTCTAGAGTTTCATGTAAAGCATTGAGAACAGATTTTAAAATGGTTTATAGACATGTACATGAAACACACACACACGTCAGTTGCATACATCCTTTTCAGCAAGAGGCCAATTTGATACTCTTTAAATTTCTCGTGGAATGTGTCAGCCATGTTTTACATAACTCACCTTCCGGCAGAGATTTAGACTTTTATTAATCTCTGAGAAAGATAGGCTTGTTAGGAAAAGTCAAAGACAGACGCTGTCTCCAATCAAGTCCCCAAAGCCCTGACACACTGGTGGTTGGCTTTACCAGGTCAAACAGAAGGCCGCCGGCCTCCAGGAAATGACGACCTTTCTCCGGAAGAGAGTGGAAGACGACGAGGCCGTGCAGCATGAGATTGAAAAGGTGTTCCAGGAGCTCCTCCGGTAATCCCAACCTCTTGGGCTCATCCATTTATAGTCACAGTTTGAGCTGGGTTCAGTCAAGCAGGGCTATCACTGTGGAGTCGGCCTCCTGCATGGCTGGTTCACAGCTGGTTGCCTTAGTCCTGGCACCTTGCTGAAATGTTCTATTTTAAAGAGTGTGCCTTATTACACAAGACTTGTTTCAAAGAGAATTTGCCATGTGTGCTCTTAACACAAAGAAGCAAATTTTGGGTGGGGGGAAATCATAGAATTTTGTGTAAATCTGCCCATCACATAAAAACACAAAGAGCCTGACTCTGCCAGAGGAGAATTCCAGGCTCAAGACTGAGTGGAACCAAGCAGATTTCCAAACAAGTTTCTCCATAAACATCCACCAGGTTTGTGTTTTTCTTCATGGTGGTTTTTACTGAGTGCTTTGTATAGAAGTCTTTGCTTCAGAAATGTCGTATGTATAACCCACATGAATAAATACTTCAGAGATGCTCCCAAATTCATCAGTATACATCATTTCTAGATCTAAGTTATTGGGGGAATACAAAGTAGGCAATAGATTTGATAATTAGTATATAGACTTAATATTGCTGCTATATTATCAAAGACCAATAAAATTGCCAAGTGTGGTGGGCACACCTTTAATCCCAGCACTCCGGAGGCAGAGGGAGGCAGATCTCCATGAGCTTGAGGCCAGCCTGGTCTATAAAGTGAGTTCCAGAACAGCCGGGACTGTTACACAGAGGAAACCCTGTCTCAAAAATATAAATAAATAAAAATAAAAAATAAAACAACAAAAAACCCCAAACAAACCAATAAAGTCATAATTTTAAAAGACTTGCCTTTCAAAGTATTTCTACTTCATTTTAAAATTCCTTTCATTACAATCAAAACTACAGATTTTTCCTTACAATGAAAGTGTGTGACTAATTCTGTCCCTACTGTTGTTTGAGCAATCCAATTCAAATTCCAGATCAAGTGAGGAGGCCCCTAAAGGGACTTCTAGGAATGGTGTCTTTGGGGAAACAGTCTTCATGCCACTCAGGGAGCATTCCCTGGGTTGGTTAGGAGTTCATTTCTCAAATAATAAGTGAAGTTTGAAGCCTCAATATACTATAAATACTTCTTTTGAAATCTTTTTCCATTTAGATTACAGGACGAGAAAGTGAGATTCCAGGTGAACTTGACAATACAAATTCTTCTTAAACAAGGACAAGTAGAACTGGAGAATTTCCAGCTGACTCTGGAATATTCTGATGCAATTCTCATCAATAAGAGCATAATTGAAGACTTGAATGCTGTGATTCGGGTAATTATCATTTTTGAACATGTTACCTTTTACATAAAATGTTTTATAGTGGGTCTCGTTTCCATGGTAAGTGTGCTAACTAGTTTTATGTCAACTCGACATAAGCTGGAGTCAGTGGAGAGAGTGATTCTCGACTGGGAAAATGCCTTCACAAGATCAGGCTGTAGCAAGCCTGTAGGGCATTTTCTTAATTAGCGACTGATGGGGGAGGGTCCAGCCATTGCGGGTGGGGCCATCTCTGGGGTGATGGTCCAGGTCTATAAGAAAGCAGGCTGAACAAGCCACGAGGAGCAAGCCAGTAAGCAGCACCCCTCCATGGCCTCTGAGTCAGCTCCTGCCTCCAGGATCCTGCCCCGCTTGAGTTTCTGTCCTTATATCCTTAGATGATGAACACTAATGAGGAACCATAAATTAAATAAATTCTTTCCTCCCCAAGTTGGCATTAGTCATGGTATTTCATCACAACAATGGTAACCTGACTAAGACAGTAACTTTAATTCAGTTACATCAGTGCTTCGTCTCAGTAGCTGCCATTAGAATCACCCGTAGAAATTTGTAAATGTGCCCAGCATGTACATATTTTTTAAAATCTCCCTAGATAATTCTAAAGGACGTAAAATTCTAGATAGTGAGGCTAAATGTCCATTCTACTATATCTTAGCTTATATACTGTTTATATAACTCTCAGTATATAATCTATTTTTTTTCCAAAGGACCAACTTTGAGTTTCATGGACTCTCGTTTTCCTATTTTCTATTTCACTTATCTCCATTTTACTCTAGCTTCCTGCCAGCTTTTATGTTAGCTTGTTCTTTTTCTGGCACATAAATTTAAATTCTTGATGCAGGCTCTCTTTTTCCCTAACTGTGTAACAAGAAAATTTGAATTAATAACAACTTAGCTTTAGCAATATCCAAAGTTCTGCTCTCCCAACGCTCTGCCCCTCCCCCTGCGCTGGGTTCGCTGCCCTTCCACAGAATGCACTCATCATCACTGATCCATGGTGACTGTGGTGTGCCTTGTCTTTGATTATGAGAGAAAAGGAGAATTAGGTGCCTGACTGGATTTTACATTTACATCTGTATTCATATTCCTAGGCAGTATTTTTTTTATCGCTTTTGCTTTGTGTTTCTTCTCTTATTCCAGTTTGAAGGACTTCCTTTAGCATCTCTTACAGATGAAGTCCACTAACAATGGATGCTCTCCACCCAAATAGCACATCTCAAAATGTCTTGTTTGTCTTTCATTTAAAAATATTCCACACCTATGTTAAGTTTTTTGAGACAAGGTCTGGCTACATTGCCTAGGCTGACCTGAAACTTGGGATCCTTCCACCTCCTGAGCAGCCAGACTACAGGGCCAGCTTTCATTTCTGAAACACGGCTTCTGTAACTTCAAGACTTTTAAATTCTTGGCTGACAGGTTTTGTGGTGGGTTTTCCTCCTTTTCTGCTTGGTTTCTAAAAGATACAAGTTCAATGCCAGACTGGATCACATACCAAGATCTTGTCTCAGAATTTTTTTTATTATTTTATTTATTTATTTTAGCTTTTCAAGACAGGGTTTCTCTGCGTAACTTTGGAGCCTCTCCTGGAACTTGCTCTGTCGACCAGGCTGGCCTCAAACTCAGAGTTCTACCTACCTTTGTCTCTCCAGTGCTGGGATTAAAGGCATGTGCCACCACAGCCCAGCAGAAAAACCTTTAAATGATTTAAATTGTATGTTGAGCAGCTGAATAGATTATAGGATCACTAACTGATGGTGGAAAAGACTGGACGACTGTGACTTTGGCTGAAGTCCTAGAGTGAAGAGTTTTGGCCTTGGTTAATTTGAGATGTATTTAAAACATTCCAGTGGAATGTCCAACTTGACAAAGTCGAGAGTTGAGATGCGCTCTCTGTAGAGCACATGTTAATAGCTGCATGTGGACTATTACTACAGATATCCACTTACAGGCCATTTAAACCAGGAGAGACATTGCTCAAGACAACCTAGGAAGCAAGGTAAACCAAAACTGGTGGGTTTGTGTCTGCACCTCCAATTGAGCTCTAAAAGGTGCAGCACAGAGGGAACCAGGCAAGATGGAGGAGCTCCTAGTACAGCAGTAGAGAAAACGAGGGTACTATCCCCTAGACACCCCAAGAACAAAGATTCCAAGGAGTAGGTAGAGATGTGTGCACAGTGTCAACTACTTGACAGGAGTAATCTCAGGAGAGGGTTGAGGGTGGGGTCACAGGACATGGGGAAGTAAAGTAAATCCCACAACACCGGAACAGTGGCTCCCAGCCTTAGCACCCTTGATGTCGGGGGTAGGGGCAGACTGTTTTCCATGGAGGCTGCCCTGTGCTTTGTAGGCTGCTTGGCACCATCCTGACCTCCGCTCACCAGATGCCGACAGCAACCTCTCTGGTTGCAGCAACCCAAGCATAAACGTAGCATGCCTTCTACTGGGCCAATGTGCTCTCCCAGCAGAGAAATGCTTCAACTTTAAAATGTTTGAGCTGCTGACAGCCAGATGAAGTTGTGAGAGCATGGGGTTAAGGTGACTGAAATACAGTTTTAAAGGGTCATTAAAGGTAGGAAATCCAAGGAGTTCAGAAACCAGGTTATGACCAAAAGAGGAAAATAATAGAAGGGTAGGACGCAGTGGGGAGCGGCCTAGTGGCATACACTCAAAAAGCTAGAGTTTGGAAAGGGAATAAAAAGAGAAAGAATGAAAAGTGGTAACTGGTGGGACTCTTATATAAACTGATCAACTGATTGACAAGACAGTCCAGACTGGCCTGGAACTTATTATGTGATCAAAGTTTACCTCATACTGGGGACAATCTTCCTGTCATAGCCTCCCAAGTCCTAGAATAACAGGTAGAAGCTACCACATGTGGCTATAAATTCATTTTAGAGACAAAGTAATTTCATTTTAGTAATCTTAGGACAATTTTTAATTTAAATAAATAATTTATATTGATGTTCCTTAATTTTATTGATAATACATTGAGATGTTAAATATTAAACATAATATTAAATAATAACTGAATACTTTATTTGATAAAATTTAATGCATTTAATATTTAATTAATTTAAATGTTTACTTTAAAATATCCCTGAATTTCATATAGGTTCTTAAGTAACCTATACGAATACACGACTATTGAATATATGAATACATAACCTAATATGAATATATTGAATATCCGTATTCCAAGTGAAGTACAAAATAGTAGAGTGTTTTAAGTGTCATATCTGACTGTTTCCTTTACTGCTAGCTACCAGGTTGATGCTGGTATGCCTAGCCATGTTAGCCAATGCTTTATCCAGAGAATCAATGCGAAGACATGGAGGTTTCACAGTCAGGTTACAGACTGAGCCACAGAAACCAGCTTCAGTTCTGAATATACAGTCAGCGTGACTGCTGATGGACTTTTTCAGGCTCAAGGACAAAAGAAAGTTGCCAGCATGGTGGAAAGTAAAGAAGTCCACAAAGGCATCTATCTGATCGAGTGGGAACATAAGAAAATGGAGATGGAAATGGAAGATCTGAATCAGAAGGCCTGGGACATCCAGACGCTGTTCTTCTCGCGAGATCGTCAAAAGGCAAGGCGCCCGTCTCCCCGCCCCCGCGTCCATCTCATTCATTCATTCATTTGTTCATAAATGGTCACTTAGTAGGAAGCCCCCTGACAACAAGTATATTCCAAGCCAGGTATGTTCCCAATAGATCCGTAAACACACGAGTTCTTTTACTTACAGAGGTTTAATTTGCTAATTTCATGGCTCTTTTCTTAATTTGCTTATTCCTCTTCTCTCTAGAGACTCACTCTGACTTAAAATTGAGTCAGCTTGGGTGTCTATCCCAGTTTGGCTAGTTCTTTTCTTTACCTCCCGTTTCTGCCACTGCTTTGACCTGAGGTGGTGCTTTAGTTATCTGTATACTGCTGCCATACTGAGGTCCTACTTGATTCGAGCAACATCAGTGCCCTGCCCAAATATTTTAAACAATACTCTAACTACCAAATACATTAAGAAGTCCTTAATGGTGGACAGTGTCTTTCAACTTGCTTTTAGGGCAAATAAGAGGAACAGATATCACTATGCCTCTTATCCATCAGTATTCTTAAATGAAAGAAAGAGAGGGAGGGAGGAAGGGAGGGAGGGAGAAAAGGAGGGAGGGAGGTGGGTGTGTATGGAGGCTAGGGATCAACATTAGATGTCTTTCTCAGGAATGTTCCTCATAATTCAACTAGACTGGCTGAGTAGCCAGCTCCAGGGCCTAGTGCTGGGTTAGAGCCTCACATGAGTGCTGAGAATTCGCACACAGATCTTCATGCAGCAAGCATCTATCAACTGAGCAATCCCCCAAGCGCCCAGATGGTTCACCTTTTCTCACACTGGCTCTTCAACCCGAAACATCTTCTTCCTCCTCCTCCTATTTCTTCCCTTCCTCTGTTCCTTGCCCTTTCCCTCCTTCTGTCCTATCTACCCAGTTTATCAAGTTTTAACTTATACCACTTTCTTCAACAGCCTTTCTTGATTGCCCAAGCCTAGAGAAATTCCACTCCATCATAAACTGCCTTTGAATTTGCTAACACTTGACATACCGCCTGGTAATCAATTATTTGTATGTGTTTTCTTTTCCTTGAAGGCTAGCTAGGTCATGTTTGTCTTTGTATCTACTTTGGTATCTTTAATTAGAACATGATTAATGTGACCCAAGCGAGACACTGAATGAAGAAATGTAAGTAAAAATAGCACATAGGTGAGTCTGCTGATAGTTAAATACAAGTAACTATCATTGCACAAAGGCCAAATCAGTCTTAACATCTGATATTCATTATGAAACTATCATTTTCAAAACCACTCATAGTTACATACTAAAAGAAATAAATTATCTTTACATGTATATCTTTTTTCCCCTTCTTAAAGTACCTAAACGAACCAAACTACGAGAATCTGATTGCTGTTCAGATTGGAATAATGGAGCAAACAATTAATGTTATAGATAAGGTCAGTCTTAAGCATTTCAATCATTAGAATGGAAACATCTGTGAATTGTGTGGGCAAATAATTCAGCCATGAACTCAGACAGAACCTAAGAGAAAGTTGATAACTTACTGATGTTCATGACAACTTGAGGTCCCGGAAGGCTGACTTTGCAGACTACACCATTTCTCTGGATATTAGGATCAATATCTGGGTATACATGTAGATGAATGTGGGTTTGCTTTTACATTAGTTAGATCTGAGCCACACAAAAACTGACAGTTTCCCTGGCATTTTGAACTTTTCCTCTTTGTATATCTGAATAACAAAATCGGTTTTACTGGATAACATGTAAAATGGAAGCAAAGGTTTTTAAATGTGACAGTATAAATTTGTTTCTAAAGTATAGTATTAACATTCTGTCTTTTAACAAAAAAAAAGACATACCCTACAACAGACACTAGGGATATAGTATGTTATCTCAGTGATGATAAAATATTTTCAAAGTCCAAATGTAACTTTTTTCAAATTTGTTTTTGGGGTTTCATGGGAACAAAATTTTCAGACTCACAGGAAGAACGTAGAAAACTGCAAAAAATTAATTAAAAAATTGGGAAGATACAGTAATCAGAAAGACATAGCAAATTACATGCTGAGCTGCAATCTGCGGGAAGAACTAGTGGCTGTCTCCGAGAGACAAGACATCTGCAATGAAATGGGTGAGGGTTTTCTTCTTCAGTCAAAGGTAATTGGTAGGTATTTTTACCAGCAGCAGCCTTGTTATCTGAAAGCAAGCAAAAAGCTACCAGCATCTCTTTCACACATGATCTTAGGTGTTGCTTCTGTACTCAAAGTGTTGGCAATAACTCAACTAATTCCTTTCTCCATATCTGGATTAGGGTCTAAGCTGACTTGTGAAAAGATTGCCAAAGAACGGTATGGAAACCTGCTGAAAAAACAGAAGCTGACGTACATCTCCAAGCAGCAAGCTGAGCAGATTTCAATACTGCAGGCTGAAGTTGAAAGGCTAAGGATGAAAACATTCCCTGCTCTTGTTCCCATGTAGAACACCAACCAGAGCAGGAGGCAAACTAGTTACTCCAAAATAGTGTCACTTAGATAAAAACGACTTTCTCTCTTGTATCACGGAATTTAAGTAGGTTACCTCTTAGCTGCACATTTTTAATAAATTAAGTTTAGGTTAATCAGTATACAACTATTTGTCCTACATAAATAAATGAGTAAAATACCATTTGTATATTTGTATTCATTCAAGAACAGTGTTTTTCAGCCAGAAAACACTCAAGATTTATTTTGTTAAAATTACCAGAATTTTGGAAGCTTTACCAATTAAACAAAAGCAAATCATTTTTCCCAAGACATAAGCTTATAAAAAAATCTGTTAATTTTTTGGAAATTTTTAATTTTCCTTACCTAATGTAGCAGAACTCATTTTTCACCCTAGCAGGGTTCAGCAAACAAGTGTTCATTTCCTTGAAATAGTTCATTCTACTCATGTAGATGATACTAATTCTGTAATAAGACTCTGGCAAACAAAAATCCACTCACCCTTCCACAGTTTGCAGTCTGCTGTATTCCAAAATGGCTGCATCAGGATCATTTATCATAGTCTGCAAGTGAGGTCTATGCTTCACTTTTCTGCAATTTAAAAATCTAAATTTAAGCTAGGCGGTGGGCCTTTAATCCCAGCACTCGGGAGGCAGAGGCAGGCAGATCTCTGGGAGTTCGAGGCCAGCCTGGTCTACAAGAGCTAGTTCCAGTACAGGCACCAAAGCTATAAACCTTGTCTCAAAAAAAAAAAAAAAAAATTCCAAATTTAAGCTTAATGCACAACACTATACCTAATATATACTGAAACAGATAAAGCAAAAGAGCAACCAAAAAAATCTTTCATTTAGGAGGGTACTCCCCAAGGATTATGAGATTGGCTGCCAGCCTAGGCTACATGAGTCTACCTCAAATAAAAATGTTCACTTTGTTTTGCCCTATTCCAGAGTGTTATTAGTTTTATCTTAAACTTTATTATTTTCCCTAGAAGCCTGTTTTAGTTTTCTAATGATAGAAAGGGGGTGGATCTGTATGGCAGAGGGGTGGGTGCACTGGAAGTGGAAAGAAGAGAAAGGGGGTGGATCTGTATGGGAGAGGGGTGACTGGAAGTAGAGAGAAGAGAAACTGCAATCAAATATGAGGGAAAGAAAGCTATTTTCAATAAAAAGACAAAAAGATTAAAAACTACCTTCTATCACAGATGTGAAGTAGAAAAAACCATCAAGGTGGTTCAATTGATTACTCCCTTAGTGCCCAGTGCTTCATGGGATAAGGTGAAGAGCAGGGCCAACAGCATCTTGCTGAGTTTCCTCACAACTATAACGACAAAGAGTCCATTTAACTGATTTAGCAGAGAATTCACCCCTGGTAACATTTCTGAGACAGGATTTTCTGAGAGGCACGCAGATGGAACCCAGAGCGGGTGTAAGGTAAGAGGCACAGGCACTGAGCATGGGATTGCAGAGTCAACCATCAATACACTACACCTGGCTTTTTTCTTTTCTAGTAGTATAAATGTCATGACACTAATTTAAGTGTTAGATCAGTTGCCTAGATGCTCCATTAGCTAACAGACAATGGCCTCAATTCCACTGGCTAATTCTGGTCGCTATAGACCAAACAGCCCATGCCATTTGTTTTATCACCACTCTAGGTGTGGTCCTTCCTCAGCTGCCTCAGGTTTTGAGGCCTGAGCTGGGCTTGGAGGACTCTTGCTAAATTGTGTTTAGTGGGTAGGTGCTTCGGAAGGGTGCAGCACTCTACCTCATCTGTGGATACTGTTCACGGGGCCAACACCTCTCAGCTTCTGCTGAACAGCAATTATGTGCATAGTATTTTACAATGCATTACCAACAAGTGATACAGTTAGTTAGGTCAAGCATAGCATGGCCTTATGTACTGGAAGATTAGACTCACAAGAGGAAATTTACATGGTATGTGGTAGTTGGGGGTGTGACAGGTTTGAGTCCCCTGTTGCATCAAACACCAAGAGATCTAGATCAAATGGAAATGGCGGGAGGTGGTGGCTGAAAGTTAAGTTCTTAGAGGGCTCGAGAACAGCAGCCCCTTACAAACTAATAAATACTTTTTCTAGACCCCAAAGCAGAAATCATGAGGGTTTCAGGAATTAATTGGCAAATAGCACAGGGAAGACACTGACCCACAAGGGTCTCTCTCCATCTACCAGTGTGTACAGACCTGCTATACTTAAAGGCGGCAGCCTGGCTTCTCCCAAGGTTATAGTATAGCTCCGCAACAGCAACACGCTTTTCCCACTAGGTTCATTCTAAATTCTCAGCAACGGGACTGACTTCAGGCACTCCTCCACACACAGCTGACAGGTATCCTAGTGATTTAACTTAGGCAGGCTTCCAATTCACACCACAGATGAAGTTAAGAAGGCAACTGCAGAGAATCTCTCACACCAATAACACCTCCACAAGGGAAATAAGGGTATGAAATCTCCCAAGAAACAGATGGCCGTTTGAGTAAATGAGAAAAATAATAAACCAATCTGGAGAAAAACTGTGGATATATATGTTTAATTACTTGCTAGATTAGCGGACAAAAAGATATATTAAGCAACTGAAGACAAGGCTCATTAACTCAGGAGGGGCAGGTTACATTTAGGCCAGGTGAGGTTTAGACATGCAATAAACTACTTTTTAACACTGAATATAAAACCTTTTGCCACAAAATCAATGTATTAAACCTGGTTTCCAGATTATCCAAACTCCCTTTTAAACATCATTTAATTTTTTAATACTTAAATATTTTCTTTACCAAACATATCCAAAATACTAAGTTTCATTTTATAATTTGTTTATGTATCAGAGTATCCTAAACTGTTCAAGATACCTTTCTCTAAGCCACAATAGCTTACATCTTTCCTCCCTTTAAAACACTTAACTTTTCACATTAACACTCTCACAGATATTCCGTAGGGGATCAAGAATATACTCAGAAACAGAGCACATTTTGAGGCCCTGGGCATGATCCCATCACCCCAAAAGGGAGAGAAAAAAAGCCTGAAGAAAACGAACAAGCACACACTTTTCAAACCCCTGTAAATTCCTCTTCACTTCTATTATAGTGCACAACGGTCTCATCTACCCCATAGTAGTCAATCAGCTCGGTGATGCTGAGTTTCTCGTCGTCCTCAGACATAACTGACTGTAGCTCATACAGCAGCCGCTGGCTGCACCTCCTCCACTTCTTTATTAACATTTCTAACTCAGCCACGTTATTCTGAAACAGAAAAAAACAAGTCAATCAATAACCAGATAGTCGTGCGTTTTAACTTACACCATCAAAGCAGCTAAATTAGTTCCTATCTAGATGTAAATGCTAATACCCCAGGCATAAATGGCATTGCAACCTCTGGGCAAATCTTAACCTTAAGGGAAAAAGAAGTATTAAATTTGTATATTAAATACAGAATCTTCTGTATTACTACTATACTTTTAAGATATGCCATGTTGTACCTTCCCGTTTTTTTCTGTAAACCTCACACTGTTCTCAAGTTAAAAATATTTTAAATCTTGGGCTGGAGAGATGGCTCAGAGGTTAAGAGCACTGATTGTCCTCCCAGAGGTCCTGAGCTCAATTCCCAGCAACCACATGGTGGCTCACAACCATCTGTAATGAAATCTGGTGCCCTCTTCTGGCCTGCAGGTACACATGCAGACAGAACACTGCAAACAAAATAAATAAATAAATCTTTAAAAAAAAAATATTTTAAATCTTAAAAAAAAAATCAGTCACTTTTAGAAAAGTCAAAAATTCAAAAGCACAAATAAGAATGAGGTGTTATATGGGCAAAAACTATCCAGATAAAGACGTCACACCCTTCCAAACAGCCACGCTCTACTGACCTCAACCTACGGGAGCTGAAACCTAAAATCGTGTGTTTTCTCAAATAAAATTCCTGATGTTTCACTCAGAGATACAGGATCACTCCCGAAAGCTATTGTTCTACTATCATCCCTTTTGTTCCCAGGAATTTCCTAACAATGTGTACTTCTAACTTTGTTACTGGCTAGAAAATTAAAGCCAAAAAGCTTCAAATGTGTATTGAACAAAAGCTTGTGTTGACCGGGCTCATCTACCTCACTCTAAATCAATTATTTCTACTTTAGTTAAAGCTGTTGTAAGCTAGGTTTCTTTTCTGGTTATTTGGTTTCTTGCTTATCAGACCAAATGATTTCCAAATTCTGAGATTACTGCAATTTATGTAAAAATTATTCAATGGTTCCAAAATTCTTCTCACCTTTATTCTATACATTTTGACAAGTTTTAATCTCCGAAGAAGTTCTTCCTTCTCTTGAACCTGCTTTGTCAATTTTGCTTTCTCTTCCCTTAATCTTTCTCTAGTATTCCCACTCACAGAATCACTCTGGAGGGCGCTGGACGACCCAGTGTCAGGTGACTGAGACTTGCGTGTGTTTTTACTCTCCGAGCTATCTTTCTCAGATTCACTGTCCATGCGTTTCACACTTTCTTGGACCTCCGAGCAGCTTTTCTCTTTGGAAGATGCTCCTGGCTCTGATATGGCCTCGTCGTTTTCTTCATTCTCCACTTTAAGTCGCTTCACCACGCTACAAAAGGAATGAGACGAAGCCCTTGTTTTCTTTAACCTTTCTTTAAGTGTTCCACTCATAGGCTGAAAAAGACACAGAAAATTAAAAATGGTAAGAAAACATTGTTTTTCTAGACAGGGCTTCTCTGCATAGTGTTGGCTGTCCTGGAACTAGCTCTTGTAGACCAGGTTGGCCTCGGAACTCACAGAGATCCACCTGCCTCTGCCTTCCAAGTGCTGGGATTAAAGACGAGTGCCACCACTGCCCGGATAGGAAAACACTCTTGAAATCAATCAACCAATTAGAAACAAAGGCTTTACACTTCTATAGGAGGTTCGCTGGGTGCTTTTCTGTCTCCACAAATCTCAAGCAAGATCACCAATGTCTATTTTCCAGAGACTCCTTTAGTCTTACTTCAAGGTTAACTTCCTAAAATAGTCCTGAGACATTTCTCCCAGTCATCAGGAGTATTTATTCAGCACCTAGTATTTGCCTTCCAGCACTAGAAATGCTTCTAGACTTAGGAAAGGACCTGCCATCAAAGACGTCCCCTAAGGAATACTATACAGATCAAATTTGAATAATCTTAAGAACCTGTCAAGAAATTCAACAAAATGAATACAACTTATTCAAGAAAATCTGGTAAAGACTAAACAAAGACTATACGTTAATTCACATTCCAATATCCTTAAAATTGCCACTACCAGAATACTTTGAAACAGAATGGGGGTGGATAGCAAGATTTTCATACTTGTTTTCCTGAACTATTTGTTTGGGATGATGGTGGATTCTCACTCTTCTCAGGAGTGTCAGGTAAAGTCGATGCTGAATCTGACGCGCTATCCATCTTGGTGGATGCAGAATCTGATGGGATCTCCATCTTGGTCAATGTTGAATATGAAGCACTCTCCATTTTGGTGGATGCGAGATCTGATGGGTTCTCCATCTTGGTGGATGCGGAATCTGACGGGATCTCCAT